TAAAAACGTAAGGAAACTAACAACGCAAGGAAACTGCATAAAGGAAATCCTAAAAACGTAAGGAAACTAGCAGCGCAAGGAAACTATTCAAAAACAAACTTGCTCTGAATATTCCAAAAAAAAAAAAAAAAAAAAGAAACCTAATTACTAAAAACTACTAAATACCAAAAAAAGAAAATAAATTGAATCCGTTTAGTCTTCTAACGAAAATCTTGAAATATTCAAAAATGAGAAAAACGTTATTCCCGAGCCCTAAACGATTGAATTTGTCCAAAAGACGCCCTACCTCGGTAGGGAAGATACCGATATATGTGAGTTGGGCCATATCTGATAAAACTGGGCTCTTTTCGGGTTCATTTTGGGATCAGTCTAGAAAATCTATAAGTAATGCCCGTTTGGCCCCCTAACGGTCCAAACTGGCCATAAAGACTTCAGCAATCAGTTCTACATCATTTTGTGACAAATAGATGATGTAATTTTGAACTAGGCGAGTGTCTCGAGTAATGATGAATGTCAACTGAAAATAAAAGGTGAAATGTATTCTCTTCTAATTTACCTTTCTTTACTTTATTTTGTTGAATATTGCTGATGCTAAAAATCTATACGCTCCGAAGTCGGTGGCAATTCCTGCAAAATAAGAGAAGTGATGACCGGCGTGGTGCCGACCGGGTGTACTCCGACGGTCAAGTTAGTATTTGACGATCTAATATCCGATAAGGGTTACATATAAAATTTATGGCGTACCTTTTTAGGTTGACCCATCATCTCTTTTATAGAAGCATTAATGGTAGTAGTTGTTGAAACGAGATTCTCCCTGATCCAAAATGATATCGTTTCCTTCTTACAGGAATGGTAACTCTGGTTACATATGGTAACCAGATATTTTTTATGATTCCATAGAGATTTTGGATAAGATAAATCCCTTACCTTTATCTTATTTCTCTTTTGACTTTGAATTGCCTATTATTTTTATCCTTATCAGTTATCTCCCATTCTCGTGTTTGCTTGTTAAGCATCGAAAATGTCAAAGTGTTTTTTTGAGTGACGTCTCTTTAGCAGAAATCAATCTCTTTTCAGATTAACGCTTGTTGGGCGACCTTTTTTTTTTTTTTTGGTTGATCTCTTAAGATTTGCCCGAACTTCAAGAGCTGAGGGAGTAAGCTTTCTTAAGCTGGATGAGCTTACCTTTTAAAAAAGGGAAGTATAGGAGTAGGCTTTCTTAAGCTGAATGAGCTTACCTTTTAAAAAAGGGAAGTATATTTACGAGTTGTACTCAACTCGCCCCTTAAAAAAGAAATATATTTTAAGAGCTTCACTCAGCTCGCCCTTTAAAAAGGAAAGTATATTTTACAAGTTGATTTTTGATTTCGACCCCTTTTAATACAGAGGACAACAATCACGAGCTTCTTTCAGCTCGGGCCCTTATAGTACAGGGCACTTTTATATCAATCCCTTATAATATGGGGAATGGCAATTACGAGCTTCATTTAACTCGCCCTTTAAAAAGGAAAATATATTTTACGAGCTTCACTCAGCTCGCCCTTTAAAAAGGGAGGTATATTTTACAAGTTGATTTCGACCCCTTTTAATATGGAGGACAACAATTACGAGCGTCATTCAGCTTGGGCCCTTATAGTACGGGACACTTTTATATCAATCCCTTATAATACGGGGATGGCAATTACGAGCTTCATTCAACTCGCCCTTTAAAAAGGAAAATATATTTTATGAGCTTCACTCAGCTCGCCCTTTAAAAAGGGAGTAGGTTCTCCAAGCTTTATGAACCTATCCTTTTAATATGGGAGGTTCATCCTCGTGAGTTTCATCATCTCATCTTTTTAATAAAAAAGACTAATTTTCGATAATTGCGTGAGCTCATCTATTTGATAAGGAAGACTGATTTTTCAGAGTTTCGTGAGCTCGTATCTTTAATAAGAGAGGTTAATTTTCTGCCCCCATTCCCAAGCTTGCCTCTCATGCGCAAGGAGCACTAATATGTACAGTTTGAACGGATAACATATATACATATATACATATATATATGTATATATATATATATCAGAATTAGTACAATTAAGGCAAAAACTTATCATTAAGCATCATAGGACCAAAATCATCCATGGAGCTAGTGATTATTCTCTATAATAAGAATTTTTTTTTTTTAATTTTTTTTTTAAACCCTGTGTACAGTACCCGCAGATACTATTCCCGTAGGTACTATTCATGTGAATAGTACTCACAAAATAATTTTTTTTTTTAAAACCCTGTGAACAGTACCCGCAAGTACTATTCATATGAATAGTACTCACAATTTTATTTTTATTTTCCCTGGGAACAGTACCCGCAAAGCATAGTATTCTATCAAAAGGTCCCCAGGTGAACTACATCACTATGTAGGTGAATAATATTTTGCAGACAATTGGAAACACATAAAAAATTGTTTCTCTTTAAATCATGTGAGGAAGTGTAGACATATATTTTGATATACGCGTAATGCATGAAACTTACCCGGTTAACAGCAATGATGAAACGGTCGGGTGGGGCTTTCCAGCAATTGTATCGGATTGAGCAACTGTACCCTTACTTTTGGCCACGCAATCCATGAACTGTTCTCTTTCTTTCAGAGAAAGCCAAATTGTAAAGGGACTGAATTACTTTTAAGTTTTGTTGTAGATTTCCCTTGTACGAACCATGATTTGTTGGGACTAATATACGTTTCCACAGACGGCGCCAATGTTGATGCCAAAAATCTACACACTCCGAAGTCAGTGGCGATTCCTGCAAAACAAGAGAAATGATGACCGGCGTGGTGCCGACCGAGTGTACTCCGACGGTCAAGTTAGTACTTGACGATCTAATATCCGATAAGGGTTACATATAAAATTTATGACGTACTTTTTTAGGTTGACCATCATCTCTTTTATAGAAGCATTAATGGTAGTAGTTGTTGAAACGAGATTCTCCCTGATCCAAGATGATATCGTTTCCTTCTTACAGGAATGATAACTCTGGTTACATATGGTAACCAGATATTTTTTATGATTGCATGGAGATTTTGGGTAAGATAAATCCCTTACCCTTATCTTATTTCTCTTTTGACTTTGAGTTGCTTATTATTTTTATTCTTATCAAATATGATTCATGTTGTCAAATTAAATCATTAACAGAATAGATTATTTAATTTTTAAGTATTGGACTAGAGTGTCGATAGAGAGCCTTTTGAAATTCCTTTTTGTATCACTTTTGGCATTTTCTTTTTGATGTATGATATTGATGTTTCTCTAAAATTGAAAGCTTGTTTATTTATGTTGATGCAAAATTTTGCATTTATTTATTTCCGTTGATGTAAAATTCTGCCTGTGAACATCTTTTCGGTAAAAAAATATAAGTGACCATTAATGTGGTGTCAACCGAGTGCATTTTGACAGTCAAATTAGTCATTATAAGTAAAAAAAAAAAAAAAAAAATACTTTATATTTAATTTATAAAGCATCTCAGTAAGTTGACCCACCTCTCATTTTATTGGGCAGTAATGTCCATCTACGAAACCATAACAGAACCAAGAGAATTAATTATCCAAGAGACAAGTTATCATTATCTCTTGTATATGTGCTTCATATTAAACTTCCCTTCAGTGTTCTTTTTATTAGATTATTTTTATATATGCATTAATTCGAGTAAGAGTTAGTACTGCAAAACTTGCCTGTGGAGGGCTTTATTGGTGCAAAAGGTAAGGCTTAGGAATCAGAAGTCCAAACTGTTGTAATAAATCATTTTGAACCAATAAAATAAAATAAAAAAGAAAGAATAATTCCGGTTTTTAAGGCACATTTGGAAAATTAGGAGAGAAAGGAATAAAATGACAGAGGAAGGAAAAATTGAAAGAAAATTATTAATAAAACGTGCTTTAAAAATGATGATAAAAAAATAATAATAAATGAATTATAAACAATTTTTTTTTTTTTTTTTGGTGCCCTATGCACAAAATTCATTTGTTATGTATGAAAGAAGCACAAAAAAGTGACAGTAATTATGAAATTTATAATTTTAATTAATTAACACAATCCCCCAAAAATTTTAATTTAAAAAAAAATAGATTTAAAATTGTCCTTCATTTTCCTTTTCTTTCATTTATTTCAAATTTCTTCTATACGCCATAGTTCTTCAATTTGGGATAAAAAGAACCATCACATGATTCATATGACCAACATAGCATAACTAGTTTCATATTTACTAAATCATCCAGGTAAGTGACCTAGTGATATATATATATATATATATTTTAAAACAAAGGTAAAACTAAATTATTGTGAGAGTTAATAGTAAAATAAATAAATAGATAAAAATTCATGCTTATTACTAGCACAACTTTTTTATTTAAAAAAAATTATTCCACTCAGATACAATACTGGTTTATAAAAGTAAACACACTGCCACAAAAATAATGAAGCACACCAAAAGATTATATAATACATCAAAGAACCACACTTGTGAATATCAAAAGGAACAATATATACATGCCTGATGAAATATATTTATTGTACGCATAAACAAGAAACGAAGATCACACAGCTTTTTATTTCTCTATTTTTGCAGCTTGCAGAAAGAAGTAGTAGGAAATCATCCTTCTGGAACCATCACCAAGCTCCTACTTTTCAAACAAGTACAAGGAAGAAGAAAATTTTCATTAGTGAATGTTTATATTCTAAGACTACTTCTAGTTGCCTATAATAATTCATCTTGCTATGTTGTTGGTTTGGGTATTGATATTTAATTATTTAATTAAGCTCACACGCGGTGGTGAAAATTCCCGTTTAAAAACATAACAATAAATTGTGTGTCAAAAGTTTATTTTGTTTAATATCCTATTATTTAAATTTGAACCGTTTTAAAAAATTTATGTTTACTATATAGTATTGAACTGAAGGTTATAATAGATTGGTGAATTAACAAAGAACAAACCTGACCGCACAACGACGGAGTCTTAAATGGGTCATACATTACGGGGAAGAGTGACTGGGACTTGCCTCCAAAGCCGGTGCCTGAAAACCATCCCACTGTGAGGAAACTTACGACAAAAAAATATATATGTGCTTTATCATTGTAATTAATAGGATATAATCTATACCGTCCATATATATGCATGCCTATAATATATATATATATATGTATATATATATATATATGTGTATGTATGTATGCTCAATGATACGTACCTTCGGTTTGATGTATTCTTGCACAGCGATATTAAGGTCACCAACGATCACATCAATCGACCCGTTTGCAACTTTCAGTTTCTTCAGTCGAGGTGCTACTTGGCCTCCATTACCGAAAGTCTCTACCTTGGGACATTTATCGATGTACAGGTTTTCCAAAGATGGCCATTCAATAGTATAACGTCCGGTTGAGAAACTCTTGAGTTTGGACAAATACAGAAGTGATATTGAGTACAAGTAAGGAATTACAATCTTCTCAACTGCAGCTGCTTCTTGTTCTCCTTTCTCATCCTTAATTATTTCTTGCAATGCAGGGCAGCTTTGTACCCTCAAATTTTCGAGTTTCTCAAGATCACCTTGAATGATGGAGGTTGAGAAAAGGCATTTTAACTTTTCACAATTATGCACACTAATACTGGTGAGGCTTCTCAAACAAGGGACTCTACAGTGAGGATCATCCTTATCATGTCCAAATACTTCTTCCAATTCATCACAGTAATGAACATCGAGAGATTTCAGGCGAACAAGCCCTTTTAATAGCGTTGGTGAGAATAACTTTTTTAACTTGGGACACTGAATCACAGAGACCTTCTCAAGGTTATGGAGGCTAATAAATTGATGGGGGCCGTCCTTCCATACATGTGTCATCTCGTGCAAATGACATAGATCAATTTCTTTCAGCATTGAGAGCAACACTAGATTTTCTGCACCGACATGCTCTTCAAAAACATGTACCAGCTTATCACAATTCGTGACATGGAGTTTCTCAAGCCTGTTTAGCCTTACTAGCAAGCTGGATGAAACTAGCTTCTCCATGTCTACACACCAATGCACCTGTAGTTCTCGAACATTGCAGAAAGATCCATCCGGGAGTTGACCATGGCATATTTCAATTAAGTGGATTAGGTAACTAATCCGCAAAAAATTTAAGCTGCCAAAGGCCCTCCGCGGTTTTGAGTACTCCATTGTGTTCACCAGATATTTAGTGTGTTCAAGGTAATAGAGTTCGAGAGACATTAATGAATTAAAGCCCTCCTCATTTAGTTCACTGAAGATATTATTAAAATTCTTCAAATTACGCAAAAGTAGATGACTAGTCTTCTCTAACAGCAACTTAACCCAATCCGGTAATAATGGTATATTCCCATCATGGTCAATTCTCAAGATTCCCATGCGTAGATAAGGATGAGCTTCATAAGGTTTATATTCATAGGGAATCTGAAATCCTTTTCCAGTGGCAATTGTTATGTTGAAACTTGTTAACTTTTGCGCGCGCTTGCATAAATCTATATGCAAAAGATCAATTGGAATAAAAATTTGCAGGCAAGCCAATCGAGAAGAGGAATTTAGCTCAACAAGATGGTCGAACTTAAAAAGTTCGGGCAAATATAACTCCTCTAATTTAGGAAGTTTGCATATGACGCCTGGTGCTATTTTGGTAAGCTTTCCACAGTTGGTCAAATCAAGGAGTCTTAGGCTAGTCAATTTGGCAATATGGACCGGAATTTCACAGATTTCAGAACCACTAAAGCTGAGAATCTCAAGATTCGTTAGTTTTTCTATCATAGATATGTCCTCTAACTTGCAAGAAGTTAGATGAAGGGTTCGAAGGGTACTAGAGAGCGGTTGAAGTGCTGGTGGAAGTATTGGCAAGAAATGGATACCGCTCAATTCTAGAAATTTCAATTGATCTTTCGATCCTCGGAAGAAGTCATTTGGAATTTGCAACAGAGAATTGCATTGAAGTCGCAAGATCTGAAGGTTTGGGGCTTGTAGCTCACCAGGAAGCACATGAATATTATTCGATATCAATGAGATGGCTGAATAATTTTCAAATGTTTGTGCTTCTGGCCAATCGCTCACTCCAGCCATAACCTTAAACTGGTGTTCCTCATGTTTTTTTCTTCTTGAATTGTGCCCGCCCTTAGGTTTAGACGAAATAGATATTGCAACATCACGAAGAACATCATGCATTTTAACGAACCCTTTCTCAGAGCCATCCAACAACATAAAAGAATCAATAAGCCTCCTTACCTCAATATAGACTAGACCTCTTGCTTCTTCAATGGTGGTGACACCTTCAAACATCCTCAGCGCCATGGCGTATCTCGTCAAGTCTTCCATCGGAATGTTATGATCTTCTGGAAACAAGCAACAGAGTAAGAACAATAGTTGGGCCTCCTCTGTACTGATATAAGTGAAACTCAACTCTAGTTTGGCATACACTTCTTTCTCCAGATTGCCGTTGATATTTTTTGGGTTTGACTTCTTCAGCTGCTCAGCCGCAACAGCCCACACGTACTGGTCTTTATCTTTCAACCCTCTAGCCATTGTCACAATGACAAGTGGCAAACCACCGCATTCATCTGATACCTTTCTTGCATTGGGATTTGAATCCACACATTCACCACCGGCCATCTCCTTGAAAAGGACCCATGCTTCTTCATTCGGCAACACGCCCACATGAAGAGTCTTTTGAACTCCCATTCCATAACAAACATCTCGGCGTCGAGTGGTTAACACAACTTTACAACCCTTATGATCATCCCCAAAAGGAATGCCAACAGCCTCCAGATCAAGTTTGTCCCAAACATCGTCAAGTATTACCAGGACTGGTTTCGCCTTGGCCTTTATTGTTTGCCATAATAACCGTGCTCTCTGTGATTCGCTGACGTTGTCGTCTAGCTTGCAGCCTAACATGTCAGCGATTTCCTTTCGGATCTTTGTCAGGATTGGAGTTTCAGAAACAACGGCCATCACAACCTGGCCGAATAGCTCAGTCTCTTTGACACGTCTGCCAATTTCCTTCACTAGTGTCGTCTTACCCACCCCTCCCATTCCACAAATTCCAATAAAGTGAGTGTTGTCGTCCTTCAAAGCATCCATAATCTCTGCCGTGACTGATGCTCTTGTTTTAAAAGTGCAAAAATCTTTCCTTGAAGAAGCTTCTATTTGTGGTGGTGGAGCAGGGCGGGACAAAATCTGGAATTTGCTGCCTTCTTCAATGAGAGCAGTAATTTCATCAGTTTTCAGCTTTGCTTTTTTGCTAAAGTAGTATCGGGAGCGGCAGTTGATGCACCATCCGCACAGGCACCTCTTGGCCGCGTTAGCTTCATCTTCCAGAAGCTTTCTGACCACTGGGGTGATGGTATCCACTTCTGTAAGCCAACTCTCGACACCAGCTTCAGTATCTTCCCCGATCCTCTTGGCTGCCTCAAACGGTGGTTTCACACTTCCTTTCAGACTCTCAAGCTTCTCAACTTCCTTATCAACATTCTTAATATTGCGGTCATAGTTAACCAAGTAACCAGTCTCACGTTTAACTGCATTCACCAAGGGCTCACCGGTTATCCCCCAAACCCATTGAAACAATGGTATAAGACAAGCTTCCATCCTGATCGATCTTCCTTAAAAAAATTATAATAAAAAAAACTGGTGGTCAAAGAGATACGGTTGAACAGTGACTTAGAGTCGATCAAATAAGGTTCAAAGATTATACCTCTGAAGAGAATCCTCCTTCCTTGAGCTTGAATTGTTTCTTCCTGCCTTGTAGCACCTCCAAATGTTACTCTTTTAACACCCAAAATTTTTACCTCAGTATCTTCATTAGATATCCTTACGCCTAAGAGAGATATAGTGTATATATAATTCTATATACTAGTATAATGTCACGTCCTTACTATGACCGTAAATAAAAAAAATATTACAAAATATTAAAAGCAGAAATATGAGACAAAGTTCAATGCATAAAAGGGGAGTGGTACTGAATGCATGTTTGGCAATATTTTACCTTGCCTTCACACACACATGAATTCTCTGTCGACTTGATACAATAACTTAAATTATTGAGGTCTATCATTTTTCTATTAGTGGATCCCATTTTTACTTTCCCATTTTATTTTACTTCAATGAAATTTTGTATAATTTGGCGTAATAATTTATGTATAATTTGGCTTGACATAAAATAAAGGCGTGAAAATAATAATCTTGCTCATATGTTTTGGCGGGGTTGGAGAATACATGTTTGGGAATATTTTACCTTGCATTTCACATGCATATGAATTCTTTTTACTTGATACAATGACCTAAATTATTGAGGTGAATCATTTTCCTACTTGTGGAATTCATTTTTCTTTACAAAATATACTCATCTTGTTTTCGCTCATACTCCGTTCCAAATTAAACATCCTTTTTTTAGAATTTAATTTTTTAAGGGGGTGGGTTTTAGTAATTTTTTTATTTATTATAATGGTAGTGAATGAATTATCAAAATATTCAATTACGTTGATGTGATGATTTACTCTGGGTAATTTACATTCACACTTACTCAAGTTTGTAATAAAGATAGGTAGATACAACGTACTTAAGAAGAGAGAGTACGTAATTGCCATTTGACTTCTGAATTGATGGATTTAAATTGAAAGTAAAATATTAACCTTTATAAGCCTTTTAATTTAACCAAAATGAGCCTTAGCCAAAAAAAAAAAAAACACTCCACCATGGCCCTCCCAATATTTTTTTTTTGCAAAACCTTATTAAAATATTAAATTAAAGTTATTTATGGTGATATTTTACATAAAAATTAAAGTTTCAACCCTCAATTTTTTTTTTAACACTCTATTTATGGTACTAAATCATATATACTAGATACTTTTTCAATATAAAAATTAAAGTTGATCCCTCTAATTTTTTTTAAAAAAAATTTATATTTATGATTCCCTGATATTAAAGATAGTTTAATAATGAAATTTCTTGTAACCCTTTCAAAATCCAATAAACCTCTTGCTATAAAAAATCAAATTTAGTATATAAAAAAATTATTAATTATTATAGTAATCATTATAACATAATATATGAGGGGTTGTGAGTTATTTATGGTGATGTTTTACATAAAAATTAAAGTTTCCCCCCTCAAATTTTTTTTTTTTTTTTTTTTTTTAACACTCTATTTATGAAACTAAATCATAGATACTAAATAGTTGTTTTATATATAAAAATTAAAATTGATCCCTCTAATTGTTTTTAAAATTTTTTTTTTCTATTTATGGTTCCCTGATAAAGTTGATATTAAAGATAATTTAATAATGAAATTTCTTGTAACCCTTCCTCCAATAAACCTCTTGCTATAAAAGATCAAATTTAGTATATAAAAAAATTATTAATTATTATAGTAATCATTATAACATAATATATGAGGGGGCGGGGGGGGCGACACACACGCGCCGGGGGGGGGGGGGGGGGGGGGGGGGGGGCGGGCGACACACACACGCCTGCGCATGTTTGACTTTTCAAATTTCAGACATCTAAAAATAAAAAGATGGATATTTATATTGGAACAGAAATGATATCTATATCAAGGTATCTGCATGATGTGTGTGCAGTGAAATTTTGTCCTTTATAAAAATATAGATATATACATAGTAAGGGTGGCAAAATGGGTTACAAGCCATCAATTTGCCTATATCCACTCGCTTTTTAATGGTTATGGATGAACCATATTTAATTTGAGGCTCAAGATTAGTTAGGTAATTTTTAACCACTTAATTTAAGGGTCAATATGGGTTGAATATAGTTAATTTCACCCATCATATAATAAAAAAAAAAAAAAAAAATTCTATTTTATATTCCACTCAACTCATTTCTCTCTCTAAAATTCTCTCACACACGATCTTCTCTCTCTAAATTTGTCTCTCATCAATAATTTCTCTCTAAGTTTCTTTCTCTAGAAATTTCTTCTAAAAAAATAAATAATTAAAAAATAATTTTTAAATTTTTAAAAAATTAAAAATAAAAAATAATAAAAAAAATTTTAAACTAAGAAAAAAATAATTTTAAAATTTTAAAAAAATAAAAAATAATAAAAAATAATAATTAATGGGTTCACGGATTATAACGAATTGACCCTGCCCATTTTTAACCCGCCCATTTTTAACTCGTTCTAAACGAATTGAATATAAATCTTGATCCAAGTTGATTTGTCCATTTTCAACTCAACCTAAATAATTGTGAGATCTGATCTAATCTAATCTAATGTGAGATCTAATCTAATATATACTAACCTTTGAATCCGGTGCGATAATGATAAATTCAAATTGTACATATAGATAGTATGGAGGCTATGCGCTCAACAAATTATATGTGTAGTAGAGGCCGTGGTTGTGAGCAAATTATATATGTTGGGGGGATTTGATAAGGATTGTCACTATTTGATTGTTCTTTGTGCTTTCCAAAAGCACAGGTCACACCAAAAACTATCCTTCACATATTATTTTAATGGCCATTGGTTACTTAACTTTATTTTATAAATATTTTATTTTATTTTTTCATATTAGTGAGAAAGAGTCTATCAAGTCCAATTTAGTTAGTTCAATCTATGGTACCCTAACTGTTAACATCATATATTTTCACGATTTCAAATCTATAGATAAAAAAACAAAAAATAAATAAATAACCAAGTGAAACATATCAAACCAATTTAGATATGAGTTTATTTTTCATTTTAAATTGATATCGTAATGGTTCCAAATTATAAGCAAAAATAATAATAAGTGAAAAATGAGGTATGAGGTATGAGTAAAGAAAAGAAAACAATACCAAATCAATTTAAAGATTGTCTAATTGTGAATCTTTTAGGGCTCCAGAGACTTGACAGACAATAAATACTCGAATGGATAAGAATGCATCCACATTGTTGTATTTTATATATGATGTTCCAAATACCATTGAAAGGTTGGTAAAAGTAAATAACTTGCTTTTGGACAATTTCTTAGTAAAAGTAAATAAATTGCTTTTGGAATTTTTTGTAATTTTATTTATTTATTTATTTATTTATTTTTTTTTTTTGAGGACATTTGGAGCTGCAGGAGAGTTTAATTAGCCCATGCAACAAATAAGGGAGTGGGGGCAAATGAGCTTTAATTAGTCAGGGTGATTTATTGTAAAGATAGAGTTACCAAGAGTAGAAAATGGGAGAGATAGAGAAAGAGAAAGACTTCCTTCCACCTTTTATATTTTGTTATATGTGCAAAAATTTTGGAAATTTTCTTATTGATTTCCTCGCTAAAATTCTATTGTCATTTCTCTAACCTTACTTTACTTTTTAGTATTTAGTTTTGTGCTTGTGAATGTTTAATTGGTTATATATATAGGTGATGAGCGCTGAAAACTGCATATTTAAACCCCTTAAGCTTATGTATTCTAGAACATTTATCTATCTTATTTTACCATTTTGTTTTGATTTCGTGTTATTGCCATTTTTAGGTACTTATCCCAAAATAAGCTAACTCAGCCAAATAAGAGCATAATTGAAGCAATTTTGGGATGAATCAAAGAAAGGAGCAAAGAAGAAGCAAGGGTGGAATTTCAGCAACTTCGATCGATCTCAAGAAAAGTTCGATCGATCCAACTTATATCGATCTCAGCACTCCAAGATGGATTTGAGCCATGTTTGTCCCTGTTCAAAGATCTCAAAAGTTCGATCGATCCAACTTCTTTCTCTTATCGATCAAACATTCTTGTCCTTATCCAAATGATTGATCTTATCCAGTTGTACCACCTTACCAACCACTTTTGTCCTCTTTCCACAAATATCTTCAAAATATCTCAGATTTGTTTTTATTCAAAAAGGTGCCGCCATTGAGGATCGATCCAGCCTAAGATCGATAGATCTCAGCAATGTTCGATTGATCCAAGTTCAAGGTTCGATCGATCGAACTTCCTTCAGTGCGAAAAAGTTAAATTTTCAGCTCACAAAAGTTGTCCCTTATCCATTCATTGGGGAATATTTGTTGTACGACCCCCACTCATTTTGGGTGTCATTTGACCTACCTATATAAGGATAAGGATTACTTTTTGTGGGGAAGGGAGAAGATCATATTGTATCATATCATACCATACCTTAGAGAACTCTTATGAAGGAAGAAAAGAAGAGGAGGAGGCTAGAGACACCATTGTAGACTCTTCATCAACCAAGGAGCAGATTTCTTCCATGGAGCTTGCCCTTGAGGGTTGGAGGACATCTTCCATGAGTGGCTAGATATCCTCTTGGGGCTAGAGTTAGCCCTAAACATGCTTTCTACTTCTTGATTTATGTATTTTTGAGGAGATTTGTATTGTAATTCATGTCTTGACACTTTTATAAATATAGATCTTGTTTCTTCAATGATTTATATAGTTTAATGCTTCCAATTGATCATTTCATTCTATCTATATGTCTATGTATGCTAGAATAGATGTTCATGTGTTTGTCTCTATTTCTTGGGTTATTGATACATATCTATGTGTGTTGATACTATAGATCTAGAGATTGTCAAGACATAGTGCTTAATGTCATGTTCTTATAGTTTATTTGATGGTTCATACTCATTTCTTGATGGATTGTGCCTCTCCCTTAG